TGTAATTTTTCGGCGTATACTAATTTAAATTTGATACATTTTTACTAGCTTAATTTTTAAGTTACTTTTATACTATTATAAAATTTTATTATGGTACATACAACTTCATTTAAAAGAATTCTGCAAATTATTTTTTGTTCTTTAGCATTTCAAGTTTTTACTTTATATTATTATTTATACATTTTCTGACCATATTTTTTTTGTTCCAACACCTGTAATTAAAAATAACTACAGGATTGAGATAAATTTTGCAATTCTTTTCTGGATTTCCAATTTAATTTGTAGTTTTTTTAATAATGTGCTTTTATTAGTGTATATTAATAATGGGCAAACCAAGTAAGAACAAAAAAAGCAAAAGGATGTCAATTGAAGAGAAGCGTCAGAAGGATAATGAGAGGAAAAGAAGGGATAGACAAAAAATGAAGGAGAATCCTGAAGAATATGAAAAGGCAAGGGCCAAGGAGAAAGAACGTTATAAAAGGCGCAAAAAAGAAGGAAAGTTGAAATCTATTGAACAAAAATCTAAAAGACAACAAAGGCAGCAGCGAAAGAGTTGGCGAGTACATGCTCAAACTTAAAGAGCAAAGAAAAGGTTAATTGCAGAAGAGGAGCATCAACAAGATTCACCATCATGCAGCTATAGCTTAGGTCTGCATAATTTAGTTACCTCAAGCATTGAGAAAAAGAAGGCTGGGAGGAAAAGAGTCGTGCGTGCAAGAAATGCTGCATCTAAGAAAATAAAAATTTTGGAGCGTGCTTTAGCCTCTGAGAAGAAAAGGACAGCTAAATACAAGAAATGCTGCCAACGACTCCAAGATTCAAAGTATCTTACTCCAAGGAAAAAGGTAAGACGTTTGCTAAATGATCCTAAAGCTGTTAAACGCAGTCTCCTGTTTCATGAAGCACTAGTGAATCAATTGATTCATAATGCAAAACGAAGGAAAACTAACAGGGGAAAATTTGCATTCACAAAGTTTGTGACAGGTAAAATTTAAAAAAAATACAGATTAATTAAATTAACAAGAGATTTCACTTTTAGATAATCTTTCTTTATTCAATTAAGTCCTTTTATAATACACAGATTTTATCTTATAGGGCTTATTTAATTGTAAATTGTTATTAATAAATCTGTTCAGGAAAAATATCAGTTTATGAATATCGAGCATTATAACAATAATTTAACAATTGAAAATTAAAAAAAGTTTAAACAATACGAAACATACATTACAAATACACATTGTAATTATGTGTGTTATTAAATGTTACATTATAAAATGGGTAAAAAGAAACCCTACAAACAATACATTGAAACAAAAATTAAAAAAATCAGTGTAAGGAATATAAGGAGAAAATTTTTCTGGATTAGAAACCAGTGCCTGGTTTATCATTAGGCCTGAGACTTAGGGCCCACACATTTCTGAAGGCTCCTTAAATGTTACAAGTAATCCATTTTTTTTTTGTATTTCCTTAACAATACTTTGAGATTTATGACTTAACATAAATTGAAACAAATACAAGCTCAAATTAATTTAATCACAATTCATAATTAAACATATAAGCTTAGTTTAAATTACTGACAAGGAGGTCCCTTACTGTTCTTTGATCAGTCCTACTTAGAAAAATTTATTTCAGAATTACAAAAATATTTTCAATTTTTTCTCTTATTCAACATAAATTAAATCGATTTGAGCACCTGTTGTCTTAAACTTTTCTTCTTAATGAACAAAGAATTATCTTTCAAACTGAAGAAAACAGAATCTTTAACACACAAATCAGGTATTCTAAGAAAAAGAAGAAGAAAAGTCATTTAATAGTTTTATTTACAATACCAATTATATAATTATAATTTCAAAATTCTTACTCATGAAAAATAGATGTCGTTATGATCTTATTCATGATCTAAATATATACACAATTATGCTAGATTACCAAGGCCGAATTTAAGTATAAGAACATAAAATACTGTTTTTTCATGGGGGAACCTATACCACAAAACACCCCCTTGTTTGCATCAGTGTTTTTTTCCACGCTGATTTAAATTTCGTTGGCAACAAGATTGTTTTGGATAAACAATTCTGATTTATTAAAATATAGCTGGATAAATATCTCAAAAATTCAATTTTGAATTTCAAAAAACAAAATTTGAGCAAAATCTGATTTTTAAAAAGTGGTACTTTTGAAATTTGATTTCTCAGGAACTATTCTATCAATTTTTTATATTTTACCATTTAATACTGAATCATTTCAGCCAAAAGGCTTTCTTATTAATCATGATTTAGGGTTTGGGCACAATAGACCCTGCTCTTTCGAGCTGCCCAACCTCTAAATCTATCTATCTAAATTGTTTTAAAAAAATAAGAGATGGAAAAAAAAAAAAAAAAACTTGGTTTCAACTATAGTTTAATTGGTAGTGATATATAAGAAATAAAATCTTACCAGTTTTGTGGAGAGGCTTCTGGATTCGAAGGTGTGGTATCCGTGGATGATACAGGATTGCTGATAATTTGCTTCAGCTAAACATAAATATTTAATTATACATTTTAAAATGGAAACAGCATTAGAAAAAAATTAGCCTTGAAGAAAAAGTCTAGCTAGCTTGTTTTTTCATTTAATTTTCTTTTTAATAAAAGACCAGGGTTTAATCCAAGGAAGTTAAATATTTGACTATTACCACTATGCAACCCATTTTTGTGAGAATTAAAATTGCCGGGCAATTACTTTTATTAAGAACTTTTCCTGTTATTTTTACTTTTATTAAGAAAGGAGTTTTCCCCTACAACACAACATTAGATTCTAAAAAATAAGTTCAAAGAGTTGTGTACAATTTGCATCAAGATTAAGTGCAACATTTGAGTATTACTGTTAATTATGTAATATAAATGACTTTAAATCCATCTGAGTTAATATCATTGGATAAAATAATGAGTGCTCGCAATCGAGAATTGTGTAAAACAGGGAGAAACAAATTTTAAACCGCATGAACTAGGGAGCGAGTATGACATTTACTTATCTTCGAAAGGCAAAAATAAAACATTCCAAAACCTTCAGTGGAAATACTAAGTGTTAATAAACAAAACAGAGTTAGTAATTTGAGTGTACAACAAATATATTTTCATCTGAAATAAAAAATTATAACTGTTTATTATGTAAATATAATGAGTCTCATGCATTAAAATTTTGTCCATGTTTCAAAAGATTTTCCTGCATACGATAGAGTAGAGTTTGTTAAAAATAGACTCTTTTAAGTGCTTTTCTCCCAGATGTAAAGTGCAGAATGAAAAACTACTTTCTATGCAGAAAAGCCCATCACAAATTTCTAGCCATCTAAGAGAAAAGAAAGAATAAATTACAAGCCTCCTTTAATATAAGTGCTGAATCTTTCGTTCCAAGAGTAGACAACTAAAATTGTTGTGACAGTGTGTCAGTGAAACCTGTCATATTTCAAATGAATGTGCTAATATATTACAATTTAAGAGTGAAAAAAAATACATAAATCTCTCTTTAAATGATACTTCTAAAATGGTTAATTGGTGTGTGTAAAAGTGACGATTTCGTATGAAAATAAATCATTTTAAAGAGAAGTAGATATGCTCATGGTTAATAACATCACAGATTTTACTCCAAATAAATCTTTAAATATAAGCGTTTATTTTTCTAATTTTGCGGATGGCACTCTTATTATTCCAGAAAAAATAGATTATTGAGTGCAAATATATTTTATGAGTTATTAAAACAATAAAGAATTAAAACAAAAAAATTTGTGATTGCTTTTGGTCAGTAGTTGGGTATGTAGTGACCTGAAATTTCGATTCAATAAATGAAACAAAGGTTCACTGCCGTTAGATTCTCAACGAGGACAAATTATAGCAGTTATAGAATTTAAAAGAAATAACTAACAGTAAAGAAAATTTAATTTGTGAGGAACACTTCACAGATACTCCTTTTAGAACTAAGGAGGAAGGGATATATGTTGTTTTAATACCCCTAAAAGAAGATCCCTTATGTTTGGGAAATTTTAAAAAAGCATTATAATAATAGTAATTGAAATTAGTGATGTAACGAATAGTGATGGGGTCGAATAGCCGAATACCCGGCCAAATTTTAGGCCGAATACTTACTTTTTAAAAATTTCTCTTCTGATTGTAATTAAAGTAATTTTCAAATTTTAAATTAAAAATGAAATAAATATTAACAAAATAGCTTTTTTAACCTTTGTATATTTAAAAAAAATTTAACAACTTAATTTATTTTTTGTAATAATTTAAATATCTTGATGCCAATAACAAGGCAATATGGCTTTTATATATCTAAATAATTAATAATAGCATATTTTAGTTATAATTAAACTTGTAATTTATATGCTATTTTATTTAAGATAAGAACTCATTACTTACTACTGTTAAATGTATTCTTAACTTTCTTTTTTGTCAGAAAAATTATTAAAACTCAGAAAATTAAGAACTTTTTAAAAAGTTTCACTTTTGAAATTAAATAATTTTCAAAATTTAAATTAAAAATGAAATAAATATTAAAAAATTTTCTTTTTTAAACTTTCTATACTTTAAATTAAATTTAACAACTTGATGTATTTTTTGTAATATTTTAAATATTTTGATGCCAACAATAAGGCTTTTACAAATCTAAATAATTAATAATAGCATATACTTCAGTATTCGGCCGAATAACTTCAGTATTCGGCAAAAGAGCCGAATAGGCCGAATATTCGTTACATCCCTAATTGAAATGATAGGTAAAACCAAAACTGTTATACTTTGCATCTTCATATTTAGAGATTTTAAACTTAAAAAACAGAGTAAAGAAAAAGTTGAAGCAATGAAATAGCTGAAAATATTACAAAAGCAAATAATTTTTTTTCTTTTTTTTTGGCAGAATTATATTTTAAAGATACTTTTCTTGTTCATCGGAAAGGAAAGAAATACTCCTGATTTTTCTGTTCTCATTTCGGAATTGAAAAAATTTGCCAATGACTGGCTTGCTTCAACTAGAATTTTAAACTGATAAAATAAGTAATAAGGAAAATTCTGAAATCACAGAAAGTTAAAAGATGATTCCCTCTAGAAATGAGCTTTTTCTATCATTCATTTTTTTCAAAGAACATGATAATAACTTTTTTATATTTTAATAAAATATGACTGTGAGTGGAGATTTTGTTACAAATTCAGATATTCAGAACACCANAGATAATATTCTTGTTCATCGGAAAGGAAAGAAATACTCCTGATTTTTCTGTTCTCATTTCGGAATTGAAAAAATTCGCCAATGACTGGCTTGCTTCAACTAGAATTTTAAACTGATAAAATAAGTAATAAGGAAAATTCTGAAATCACAGAAAGTTAAAAGATGATTCCCTCTAGAAATGAGCTTTTTCTATCATTCATTTTTTTCAAAGAACATGATAATAACTTTTTTATATTTTAATAAAATATGACTGTGAGTGGAGATTTTGTTACAAATTCAGATATTCAGAACACCATGAAATTGAAGGGGGAAGGGGTAAATTCTATTTTAAAAAATGAGATTTCTCCTGGACCAAATCTACGACTTTTTTTAAAAAAATTGTTAAAATCAAGGCAAATTTTGTTCAATTCCAAAATCCATTAGTTTCCAGGTGCACAGATACCCTAAATATATTAATAATATCCAATAAAATTTAAACAATTTAAAAATATTTTTTTTAATAAAAAAATAATGTCTCATTTCTGATAATGATGACTGAACAATTTTTGACTTGCAGAATTGTTTTTAATTTTTATTCAATGTAATTCTACTTACTATGAAAATTTCACATAATTAGTATATGATAATGAGAACTCACAAGAGGGAACATTTTTCACATTCATCTATCATTAACAAAAAATTTTAAAAAGATGATCTTTTTACTATGTGAATAATCAGTTTAATAAAATATCATTATTTATGCCTTAAATGCAATATAATAAAGGACAATCTTGCGTGTTTTAAGCAATTTTAACTCAAAAGAGCAATTTCTAATTTTATTCAGTCTATGACTTTGTCAGTTTTATTTCATCTTTATTTATGAATATTTTTCATATATGACTTTTTATGAATTATAAATATGATATGATATCCCATGAATTATAAATAGTTTCAATTAAATATTTAAGGCATGTCTTAATTATAAGTAATTTCAAGGAGAATATTTTTATTGATCAGAAAGTTTAACTTAGATAATACTTACATCTTTAATTGCTTCTTCTAGGGATTGTAACTTTTGTCCGAGGTTATCGCACCAGAAGTTTCTTGCGACTGCTGCAGCATCATTTAACTGCATGGAAGTCTCAAGGTTGTTTAATCTGAGAGTCAACAATGATATTTCACTTCGGTTCCTATTTATGTTTCCAACTTGTTGACTGTAATTCGTATTCAGAGACTGCACTTTGTTCTTGACATCGCTGAGCTCCCGCTGAATTTTTTCTTGAGAACTTGCGATCTCATTTAGTTTCTCATTAGTCAATTTAGAACTAGATACTAATTCTAGGATATTTGACTCCTGTTGAAAAATATAAGAATTCAGAATTTTATACAACATAATTAAAAAAGTAATGGTGGACACAGCACAAATTCAGTACTTGATTTTTTAAGAGCTTATTAGATACATCGATTTTCTTTGTAATCACAATCATGATGATGATGATTATTATTATCGACGATCAGTTTTGGAGCTTTTTGCAATTTGCAGCTTATAGCTCGCTTATGTCCAAGGTAGCCGAGATAAGTGGATGATTATTCACGATCGCAACACTCGAATACGCCATCTGGGGAGAGACCGGTTTCATGCCATTAGCCCTTCTCCCTTCCCTCTCCTCCTCTTTAGGAATGTACTACGATATTTTCCCTTTTCCTAATATCTTTCCTTTTTATTTCATAAAAATAATTTTTAAAATTTCCGTGATACTTTTTGCTAGAACTATGTTCAATATAGTTTTCAGTTCCATATAGTTTTTCAACTCAAAAGATTTTAATCTACATGAAAATCAAGAGAGAAACTAACGTACTTCCTTCCTCTATGACTTTCCACACGCTAATGGGGAAAGCATGCGAAGTGTTGCCATAGGTAGAGAGTTCTGCTCTACGCCACCTGCAGCCCATTTCGATCGCCAATTTTTTTTACCTACAATTGTAAAATATTCTGTTTATNAATCTACATGAAAATCAAGAGAGAAACTAACGTACTTCCTTCCTCTATGACTTTCCACACGCTAATGGTGAAAGCGTGCAAAGTGTTGCCATAGGTAGAGAGTTCTGCTCTACGCCACCTGCAGCCCATTTCAATCGCCAATAGTAAGCGGATAGATTTTAGGTAATGCATAAGATATTGTAGCTTGCGTTTGTCCGAAGTGTCCATAAGGTATAAAAACGACAAGGCCCCAAGTCCTAGCTGTATTTTAAGGGTGGTGAGCTGTTGATCAAAGAGAGGGCATACTAGAATAGTGTGATCAATATCGGAGATGGAACCACAGTTGTATTTGTTGTCTGGAACGAGTCCAAAACGGAATAACTTTGCTTTCACTAGGGGTTAAAAAAAATTCCTCGTAGGAGGACTGCTGGGTTACTATTTCCGACTGACTTTTACACCTAAACTTGAAAAAACGTATCTAACACGATTTTCACACGAATCCAGGAGGAAAAGTTAGGAAGGTTGTTAAAATTTATGTTAGGTATATTTTATAATAAGAAATATTAAAAGATAATGGTTGCATTTTTCAGAACAGCTGTATTGAGGAAAATTTGTGATTAAAGTTAGGAGTATTTTTATTTTAGATCTACAATTCGTCTACATCTATTTCTAAATTTCATAATAACTACCGCATGAAATGTATTCCTTACATTCTAAATTGATAGATGAGATTTATATATCAGTTAACTTATAAAAAAATCAGTTAACTCTGTAAATGAGTAATAAAATATTAGGATTTTTTTGTCACTATGAGAAATTTATCTCGTTTGGCATTGTAACTTTTTTATAGTATTGTTATTGTTACTTTTGTTTTCTCTAGTGGTTCATGATTCATATATAAGACTGAATGGAAGCATGTCTGTGTCGCGCATACAGTTTGCTGATTGTGGAGAAGATAAACTTGGTGAAACAACAGCTAAAGAACTGTCTATTTAGATGGCTTATTTAACTTTCTATATAGATGTCTTTAAAATGGTTTTCTTTTTATTGTTTTTTTCCAAGCTCAGTATAACAACTAAAGTTTATTTACAAATCAAACTAGTTGTTAAATACTTTATAGGGTAAGTCATTTATTAAGATTTTCAAGTACTTATAAAATTAAGGCTTTCTAAGAAACTTATTACTACATTGGCTATATTATGTATTTCTTACGACTATTAATTTTGCCTTACTAACATCAATAAAAGTTAAGTGTCTTTTTGACAGACTCCCGAAACTTATAAGTTCCCATCTTTGGGTAAAGCAATGCAATTTATTACAGCTTTATCAAAATATTTATAGTTTAATTTGAAACTCAAAAATATTAAAGTTTTCTGTGATATAATCGGCTTTTCTTCTAGAAATTTTAGAATAATAATTATAATATCAATTATTTTAATTTGACCATTACATGGACATTTTCAAAAGCATTTGGAGTTTTCATTATTCTTCTTTTGTTAGTTGTGTGAATTGTAATCCAAAGTACATTTTTATAACTATACAAAATTTAATCTGCAGTTTGGGAGTAATGCTAAGGTTTTTGTTTCTAATTTATAAAAAGTTTAGTTTTGTTTTTAAAATACATGATTTAATGATTAAGTCATTGGTAATAATTTAAGTTCCTTAACTTTCGTAATGCGCATTCATATATTTTGTTTCTTTGGTTCATTTCAATTAATGCTGGTATACAATTCTGTTAAAATCGATTGAATAGTAACTTACAATTCTATTAGAAATTATAGTAAAATGTAGTCTTTATTCAAATAAAGTTATTGTAGAGTAAAAGTACAGTTGCTTAAAAGTAAAATTAATTTTGTATCTAAAAAGAAAAAAGCACACATAATGTATCAAACAAAAGCACAATCTTTTGTCTGATGTTAAAGTTTTGTATTATTTTCACAGAGTGCCTATTAACGCCTCTCATATACCTTTTTAATATGGTACTATTTTTTGTTGTGCGTAATGAGCTTAGTTACTGGATATAAGTTCTAAAAATAATGTTTTCCTTGTGTAAAAGCTTGTTATTGTAACATCTATAAGAACTGAAGTTAGTAAACACATTCGCACTAAAGATTTTACAAAGCTGCTAACTCTACTGAATTTTCTTGTAGATTACTGGATTTTGCCACTTTCTCCTGATTTACTGGTTTAATTAAAATTCTCCTGGTTTTTGTACATCTTAGAAAATTCCGTAAAGTTTCCTAAAAAAAAAAAAAAATCCCGATTGAAATAGTATTTTTGTACGCATTGCTTGTGCTGGGATATTTAACTAAGTATTACCAATGCATAATGAAGCGAACCTCATTTTCAAAAATCAGGTCTTCAGATATTTCGCTTTAAATAAATTTAAAAAAATCTCTTAAATATCTTTGACGAATTAAATGCCTGTTAATATTCAAATATTTAATAAACATAACACATAAAATTTCAAGTATGTTTAATATCAATCTTAACTGAAAAATATTGCAGTTTTTATATTTTGATGACTAGAAAAATCTCTAAAATTCCTCTTGTGTAAAATATTTAGTACATTCTGCAACAATTATCATGAAATTTATATTAGTTTGTAAAATCTACTAAATTTCTTCCTATCCATGTTGGCAGCTATGATTTCACAATTTTTCAGAGTAGAGTTTCGTAATTTAAAATATAGTTATTGAGGCTATTAAAATATAGTTATTATTACTTATGTTATGTTATGTATATGAAACTTTTTTTCCTATGTTGGAAATTTATTAAAGTAGAAAATTTATGCAATGAAATTCTGTAAACCACATTACTTTTTACAGGTCTAGGCAATAAAAATTGCAGTTAAAAATTTCTGTATTAAAGCAAGAGCAATTAACTTTTGTCATCAATTGGCCAATTTAGTTCAGAACGATATTTCGATAAATGTATTTCCTTAAATATCTTGGTATTTTTAAGTAGTTACAATTTCAATGGCTAAGCAAACTAAAGTTGAGAAATTTATTTTGTTAGATTAGTTCTTATGCTCTCGAAAATTTCAATTTTTTTTTTCTGTCAATGCTTAGGTACTTATTTATGCGTCTTTAAGTATTTGAATCCAAAAATTATATTAAGCATTTTATAGCTTGTCTGTCTCGGACTAATATTATTACCATGTTCAATACGTAAGTTTAAAGATATGTCCAATGTTCTTTATGGCACAAAATTCTATAAAATTCAAATACACGCGTTGAAAAATGTTTTTTTTAAATTTTTTTTTAATTTTTAGTATACTGTTTTAATAAACTTTAAAAAAAATTACTTTTAAGCCTGTAAGTGTTATTTTAGAGTTGTGAACGCCTAATTAAAATTATTTATAGGTTTTACTTTTTTTACGGTACATTCCAATTAAATTATTTCTTCGCATGTAAAATAATAGATGTCTAATTTCCTAAAGAAACTTAGAAATAAATTAAATATTTGAAGTATTTTGTATGCACTTTTGCTTTATATTATTAAAAGTAATTTTATGATGTTCTAAAATAAATTTAGGAAATATTTACAAGTTCAGACCACATGTACATAAAGCTGATTTCTTTAACCATTTGAGTGTAATAGACAAAGCAATAAAATATAAACGGGGTTCAGTAAATACTGTTCTTAATTTATTTTATAATTTTAGAATTGTATTAAAAAATAAAGTAAAAACAGTATCTACATTAGACGTCTCAGATTAATTTTCAAACAAGGAAGAAAATAAGCTTTTCGAAATCTTACGAATCATCATTGAGGAAAGAATGATTAAATTTAAACCTGATATGTTTCAAACATTTGCTTTTCACCTCCCGGTTTTCTTTATCACTCAATCAGGTTCTGTTGTTTTAAAATTTCGTATTCAAGATTTTTCAAGCTTTTATAACGTTTTTGCGTTAAGTTTCGTTGAACTTTACTTAGCATTTCTTACTTAACATTTACTTTACATGTATGTGTTTTCATATCATTTTGAGCATCCTATAAAAGTTATATTAAAAACTGTGGTTATGGAGTTTCCAATATATGAGCCTATCAAAATCTATGATTGCATATATCTAAAAACTTTAGCTCAAAAAATTAAGTAAGAATACAAAGATTTTGTTAAATATTCTTTCTAAAACCATTGAAACAAATTGATTTTCTAAAACTACTGCGTTTTCACCTTTTCTCAGGTGCGTTTAGAAGATTCGCCTCCACCATTATGTATGTTTGTAATTATTAGATTTAAGATATCAATAAAGACTAAAAAAATAAAATGCTTAATTATGGATTGCATTTTTCTATCATTCAATAAAATTATATACAAAAGTTTTCATTCATAACTTATGTCGGAAAAGTTTTGAGAAAATAAGATGTTTTATCTTTAACATTTATTATTTAACAATGCAATTTTTCGACATAGAATGTCCTTAAAAGCTAAAAGAATAAAAATTTTGCTTAATCTTCCACTTAATATTGTTACTCAGTTGACGCAATCTGGTCTAACAAAACGAAATTTTTAAAAGTTATTTGATAA